ATGGGTGTTTAATACAATTACAGTTTATGAAAGGCAGTATAAATTTCCACCAAAAGTATTGCATTTTCATACAAGGAGCATAGAGGACAAGAGTGCCTCTGTTCCAATTCCTGCCTGATTATCTCCCTACTTAGTAATGTGACTTTGGACAAGTTATCTCACCTCCATGAGACTGTTTCCTCAGCTATGGGGATAACAGCATCTATATCATAGTTTTGCTGTGAGATAAACTGAGAAAAGTAGTTAGCATCATGCCCAGTACATAGTAACTATTTTACAAATCCTAGCCTGTTTTTACTATTATTAACATCATTTGACATTAGCACTTTTTGAAAATCATGTTTAAAAGCAGAAAGCAATATAAAATGCTTGATAATGAAAACAGGATTAGAGGGGCACCTGGGTGCCTCCGTCAAATAAGCATCCAACTCTTAATTTTTTTTTTCCCAACGTTTATTTATTTTTGGGATAGAGAGAAACAGAGCATGAACAGGGGAGGGGCAGAGAGAGAGGGAGACACAGAATCGGAAACAGGCTCCAGGCTCCGAGCCATCAGCCCAGAGCCTGACGCGGGGCTCGAACTCACGGACGGCGAGATCGTGACCTGGCTGAAGTCGGACGCTTAACCAACTGCGCCACCCAGGCGCCCCAAGCATCCAACTCTTGATTTCAGCTCAGGTCATAATACCAGGGTGGTGGGACTGAGCCCAGCGTCAGGCTTCTTGCTGAGCATGGAGCCTGCTTGGGATTCTCCCTCCCTCCCTCCCTCCCTCCCCCCCTCCGCCTCCTCTCTCTAATAAAAAAATACAAAATCTAAGGGTCGTTCCAGGTAAAATTTTAAGGGTTTATGAAGCATACTATGAATTAAGTACAATAGTACTCAAATATTTGTAGAGCAAATTATAGAGACATGAACAATCAAGACAATTATTGAAGACACAGAATAACCAAGCAACAGTAAACATTTCCATTACCTTCCAGTCTGACACCTAACAAATTCTTTATTCTGCTCTGTGATACTAAGCATACAGTAACACTATTGAACACATATTGAGGAATATACAATCAGTGGTTAAAGATGACATGATCTACTTTTAAAAAAAAACTGTTCAGGGGTGCCTGGGTGGCTCAGTCGGTTGAGCATCTGACTTCGGCTCAGGTCATGATCTCACAGTCTGTGAGTTCGAGCCCCGCGTCGGGCTCTGTGCCGACAGCTCAGAGCTTGGAGCCTGCTTCAGATTCTGTGTCTCCCTCTCTCTCTGACCCTCCCCTGTTCATGCTCTGTCTCTCTCTGTCTCAAAAAACTAAATAAACATTAAAAAAAAAACAACAAAAAAACTGTTCAGAGAGACACCTGGGTGGCTCTGTCCGTTAAGCGTCCAACTCTTGATTTCAGCTCAGGTCATGACCCCAGAGCTGTAGAATGGAATCCCAAGCAGGTTCCATGCTGTCAGCACAGAGCCCCACTTGGGATTCTGTCTCTCCCTGTCCCTCTGCCCTCCTCTGCTTGCTTGCTCTCACTCTCTCAAAATAAACAAACCAAAAACAAACAACTGTTAAAAAAACACAACTTTAGGGTTTTTTTAAGTTTATTTATTTATTTTGAGAAAAAGAGTGAGCACACAGGGTAGGGGCAGAGAGGAGGAGACTTCCAAGCAGGTTCTGTGCTGACACTGCAGGGCCTGACACAGGGCCTGAACTCAAGAACCACAAGATCATGACCTGAGCCGAAATCAAGAGTCAGATGCTTAACTAACTGAGCCACCTGACACCCCAAACACAATTTTAATAGTAAAAGAATTTACAAAGAGTGATGATGGGCAGGATTAGATTTTAGGAATACAGGTCTGTTTGTTATCTATACAAAAACTGCACAATATAGTTGAATATAACTATTTCTTATACCTTTAAGAATGCTTTGGGGGGCAGGTGGGGGGAAACACCTGGGTGGCTCAATCGGTTAAGTGTCTGACTTCGACTCAGGTCATGATCTCACGGCTCGTAAGTTCGAGCCCCACGTCGGGCTCTGCGCTGACAGCTCAGAGCCTGGAGCCTACTTTGGATTCTGTGTCTCCCTCTCTCTGTCCCTCTCCTGCTCAAGCTCTGTCTCTCTCTCTCTCTCAAAAATAAAGATTAATTAAAAAAAAAAATGTTTTAGCGTACTAGTTTGTAGGAAAAAATGAGATTAAGAACAAAGCTTTCACTGAGAGTGTAAACTGGTGCAGCCACTATGGAAAACAATAATGGTGGTGCCTCAAAAGATTAAAAATAGAACTACTGAAAGGGAGACACAGAGAGATAAACCAAGAAACAGACTCTTAACTACAGAGAACAAAGTGATGGTTACCAGAGGGGAGGGGTGAAATAGGTGATAGGGATTAAGTAATGCACTTGACATGATGTGCTCTGAATAGGTATAGAACTGTTGAATCACTATTATAGTACACCTGAAACTAATATAACATTGTATGTTAACTACACACGAATTAAAAAAAATACAAGTACTGGGGCGCCTGGGTGGCGCAGTCGGTTAAGCATCCGACTTCAGCCAGGTCACGATCTCGCGGTCCGTGAGTTCGAGCCCCGCGTCGGGCTCTGGGCTGATGGCTCGGAGCCTGGAGCCTGTTTCCGATTCTGTGTCTCCCTCTCTCTCTGCCCCTCCCCCGTTCATGCTCTGTCTCTCTCTGTCCCAAAAATAAATAAAAACGTTGAAAAAAAAAATTAAAAAAAAAAAAATACAAGTACCATATGGTCTAGCAATTCCACTTGAGTATTTATTCAAAGAAAATGAAAACATTAACTCAAAAGAGATATATGTATCCCTATGTTCACAACAGCATTATTTACAATAGTTAAAACATGGAAACAATCTAAGGGTCCATGAATGGATAAATGGCTAAAAAAAATGTGAAATCTCACACACACGCACGCACGCACCCAGAAGAATATTACTCAGCCATAAAAATGAAAAAAATCTGGGGCACCTGGGTGGATCAGTCAGTTAAGCATCTGACTTTGGCTCAGGTCGTGATCTCACAGTTCACTGGGTTCCAGCCCTGCATCGGGCTGTCTGCTGTCAGCACAGAGTCCACTTCAAATCCTCGGTCTCCCTCTCTCTCTGCCCCTCCTGACTCACATTGGCTCTTGCTATCTCTCAAAAGTAAATAAACATGCTCAACATCACTTATCATCAGGGAAATACAAATCAAAACCACAATGAGATACCACTTACACCTGTCAGAATGGCTCACATTAACAACTCAAGCAACAATAGACGTTGGCAGGGAAGTGGAGAAAGAGGATCTCTCTGGCACTGGTGGTGGGAATGCAAATTGGGGCAGCCACTCTGGAAAACAGTATGCAGGTTCCTCAAAAAATTAAAAACAGAACTACCCTACGACCCAGCAATTGCATTATTAGGCATTTATCCACAGGATACAGGTGTGCTGTTTTCGAAGGGGCACATGCACTCCAATGTTTATAGCAGCACTATCAACGATAGCCAAAGTATGGAAGGAGCCCAAATGTCCATTGACTGATGAATGGATAAAGAAGATGTGGTATACATATACGATGGAGTATTACTCGGCAATCAAAAATAATGAAGTCTTGCCATTTGCAACTAAGTGGATGGAACTGGAGGTATTATGCCAAGTGAAATTAGTCAGAGAAAGACAAAAATCATATGACTTCATTCATATGAGGATTTTAAGAGACAAAACAGATGAACATAAGGGAAGGGAAACAAAAGTAATATAAAAACAGGGAGGGGGACAAAACAGAAGAGACTCATAAATATGGAGAACAAACTGAGGGATACAGGAGGGGTTGTGGGAGGAGGGATGGGCTAAATGGGTAAGGGGCACTAAGGAATCTACTCCTGAAATAATTGTTGCACTATACGCTAATTTGGATGTAAATTTAAAAAAATAAAAAATAAAACAAGTTATAAAAAAATTTTTTTTTAAACATGTTACATTGACTTTGGGACCCGGTGGGAAAGAGCAGTACCTGTTTGTGAAAGCTGAAAGAATCAGGAAAGTGGTATCAGAGTCCGGAATAAAGGAAATATTGTTATGTAAAAAAGAATAAATAAATAAATAAATAATAAAAATATTCTTAGAAATAAAAAAAAATTAGAATAAACATTAAAAAAAAAGAAAATACAAACCTGCCATTTGTAACAACAGTGAAGGGGTAAAGGGGGCCAAAATGTATACATTTTCAGTTATAAAATAAGGAAGTTATGGAGATGTAATGTACAGCATGGTAGCTATAGTAAATAATACCATATTGCAAATTTTAAAGTTGCTAAGAGAATCTTAAAAGTTCTCATCACAAGATGGGGGCACCTGGGTGGCTCAGTCAGATAAGCATCCAACTCTGTTTCGGCTCAGGTCATGATCTCATGGCTTATGAGTTCAAGACCCACATTGGACTCCGTGCTGACAATGTGGAGACTGCTAGAGATTCTCTTTCTCCCTCTCTCTCTCTGCCCCTCCTCCTCTCACTCACTCTCTCTGCCTTTCTCTCAAAAATAAGTAAACTTAAAAAAAAAATTCTCATCACAAGAAAACAAATGTGACTATATGATGACAGATATTAAGCAGACTTAATGTGTTCATTAAAAAAAAATTTAAGTTTATTTATTTGTTTGAAAGAGGAAGGAGGGTAGGGGCAGGGTGTGGGGGGAGAGAGATAATTCCAAGCAGGCTCCCCACTGTCAGTGCAGAGCCCCACGCGGGGCTCAAACTCATACACCGCGAGATCATGACATGAGCCACAACCAAGGGTACAACGTTTAACTGAGCCACCCAGGCACTCCAATGTGTTCATTTTTAACATATACAAATATTGAATCATTAGATTATATACCCAAAACGGGTATATGTCAATTATACCTCAATTTAAAAAAATGGAACTTTAATATAATCTAAAGAAGATGGCTATAGGGGAATCTCAAGAGATATAATCAGAACCTAGAAGCAATGAGCATAGCTAGTGTTCCAGATCTTAGTTTCCAAATACCATTCCCACTAAAAGGAATCAGAGTTCCTTAGTTGAATGGCTATTCCAGGTTTGAAGTAGGAGAAAGTATAAGATAAACCTAGAACATTTCATTGTATCAGAAAATAGGACATACTCAAAGATGAGGAAAGTCACAAGGACATGGGCCAGTTAAGGGGGCACCCACTGACCAAATGTGGGACAATCTGAATGAAGAATGCCATCAAGGGATTATATCCCCAGAGTAAAAGAAAAATATACATGAGTCTATAATTACACAAATAGATAAATAAATGGGGGAGAAAGGACAGCTTTTATTTACAATAGAATAATTACCAAATGTGTAGAAGTAATGAAGGAGTAGAAAATTATACTTGGCAATCACAATGCTAATGTTTCAATTAAGAATCATCAGTGGCTCCCTCTCTCTGCCCCTCCCATACTCACATTCTGTCTCTCTCAAAAGTAAACAAACATTAAAAAATTTTTTGGGGGGGGCGCCTGGGTGACGCAGTCGGTTAAGCATCCGACTTCAGCCAGGTCACGATCTCGGGGTCTGGGAGTTCGAGCCCCGCGTCAGGCTCTGGGCTGATGGCTCAGAGCCTGGAGCCTGTTTCCGATTCTGTGTCTCCCTCTCTCTCTGACCCTCCCCCGTTCATGCTCTGTCTCTCTCTGTCCCAAAAATAAATAAAAAACGTTGAAAAAAATTTTTAAATAAAAAAAAAATTTTTTTTTGAAGTGGGGAGAGGGGGGCTCAGAGCACTTGGGTGGCTCAGTTGGTCAGACGTCTGACTTCGGCTCAGGTCACGATCTCACCATTTGTGGGTTTGAGCCCTGCATCAGGCTCTGTGCTGACAGCTCAGAGCCTGGAGCCTGCTTCAGATTCTGTGACTCCCTCTCTCTCTATGCTCCTCCCCCACCCATGCTCTCTCTCAAAAAAATAACGTTAAAAATTTTTTTAAGAAGCCGGGGGGAGCGCTCAGGTCATGGTCTCACCATTTGTGTGATCGAGCCCCACATCAGACTCTGTGCTGACAGCTCAGAGCCTAGAGCCTGCTTCAGATTCTGTCTCCCCCTTTCTCTACCACTCCCCCAGTCAACTCTGCCTCTCTCTCTCTCTCTCAAAAATAAACATTAAAAAAAATTTTTTTTAAATCATCAATGGATGCTAAAAATAGTACAAAGTTCAATGAGAAACAGAATATTTACATGGTCTCAAGGTACTTCCCCACAAATTATCAATTACAAAGGAGAAAACAGTAACTCTGTAATGAAGAAATCTGATGGATACCACCTTAAACAAGTGATCAAAGTTAACATCATAGGCTTCAGTGATGCATAAGGACAAAACAGGACAAAGAAAACAAAGACTTAAAAAAGCACGCAAAAATGAAATGGAATTGAGGAATGAGATTGTGGGGATGATGACACAATACTGTCCACAACTAAAAACTAAAAACCACTGATTTATACAGTACAGAGGGGGAATTTTACAGTAGTTAACTATATCAGAACAAATGAAATGAACAAGAAGTTAAAAAATTAGAAAAAAAAAAAAATACGGGAGAAGCAGATAACAGAGACCCCTCATACACTTAATTGGTCTTCCTGAATAAGAAAACCAAAGGAGGAAAACAAAGAAATTATTCAAAATAATCCCCTGCCCCCACAAGAAGATTCACTGAATCTTCAGTGAATTAGCAATTCAGAATTAGCAATACTGAAAAACCAATTCAGAATTAGCAATACTAACACATGTACCAAAAAAGTTACTAGACTTTAAGGATTAAAAGAAAAAAATCGTTTTTACACCTTGGCAAAAAAGTTAAACCACCTACTGGGGGAAGAGGGGCAACAGGGTAAAAAGAAAAAAATGGCTTCAGGGAACACCTGGCTGGTACAGTTGGTGACACATGCGACTCTTGATCTCAGATTTCTTAAGTTTGAGCCCACAATGGACATAAAGATTACTAAAAAATAAAATCTTTAGGGGCACCTGGATGGCTCAGTTGGTTAAGAGTCCGACTCTTGGTTTTGGCTCAGGTCATGATATCACGGTTTGTGAGTTTTGAGTCCTGTGTCAGGCTTTTGTGCTACAGGTGTGGAGCCTGCTTGGGATTCTCTCTCTCCCTCTTTCTATGTATGCCCCTCCCACACTTGCACACATGTGTTCTCTCCCTCTTTCTCTCAAAATAAATAAATGAACTTAAAAAATTAATAAGTAGGGGCACCTGGGTGGCTCAGTCAGTTAAGTGTCCAACTCTTGGTTTCAGGTTGAGTTATGATCTTGCAGTTCATTACATTAAGCCCTGAGTCTGGCTCTGCACTAACACCACAGAGCCTGCTTGGGATTCTCTCTCTCCCTCTCTCCCTCCCTCCCCTCTCTCTCTCTCTCAAAAATAAATAGGGGCACCTGGGTGGCTCAGTCGCTTAAGCATCCAACTTCAGCTCAGGTCATGATCTCGCAGTTTACGAGTCTGAGCCCTACACTGGTCTCTCTGCTGTCAGTACAGAGCCTGCTTCAGATCCTTTATCTCCCCCTCTCTCTGCCCCTCCCTTGCTTGCACATTTTCTCTCTCTCAAAAATAATAAATATTTAAAAAATAAAATAAAATCTTTTTTAAAAGTTTATTTACGGGGCGCCTGGGTGGCGCAGTCGGTTAAGAGTCCGGCTTCAGCCAGGTCACGATCTCGCGGTCTGTGAGTTCGAGCCCAGCGTCAGGCTCTGGGCTGATGGCTCAGAGCCTGGAGCCTGTTTCCGATTCTGTGTCTCCCTCT